CTCTAGGATTTTGATAGATTCCTGCCTCACGTTGAGGTCTTTTATCCATTTCGAGTTTATCTTTGTGTATGGTATAAGAGAATGGTCGAGTTTCATTCTTCTATGCATAGCTGTCCAATTTTCCCAGCACCATTTATTGAAGTTATTTTTTCCACTGTATATTTTTTCCTGCTTTGTTGAAGATTATTTGACCATAGAGTTGCGGGTCCATATCTGGGCTCTCTACTCTGTTCCACTGGTCTATGTGTCTGTTTTTGTGCTAGTACCATGCTGTCTTGGTGATCACAACTTTGTAGTCAAGCTTGAAATCAGGTCCCCTCAACTGATGCAGAAAAAGCATTTGACAAGATACAGCATCCATTTCTGATTAAAACAATTCAAAGTATAGGGATAGAGGGAACATTCCTGAACTTCATAAAATCTATCTATGAGAAACCCACAGCAAATATCATCCTCAATGGGGAAAAGCTGAAAGCCTTCCCTTTGAGATCAGGAACACGACAAGGATGCCCACTCTCACCACACTTGTTCAACATAGGATTAGAAGTCCTAGCAACAGCAATCAGACAACAAAAAGAAATAAAAGGTATTCAGATTGGCAAAGAAGAAGTCAAACTCTCTCTCTTCACAGATGACATGATACTTTCTATGGAAAACCCAAGACTCCACCCCCAAACTACTAGAACTCATATAGCAATTCAGTAATGTGGCAGGATACAAAATCAATGTACAGAAATCAGTTGCTTTCTTACACACTAACAATGAAAATATAGAAAGGGATATTAGAGAATTGATTCCATTTACTATAGCACCAAGAACCGTAAGATACCTGGGAATAAACCTAACCAAAGAGGTAAAGGATCTGTACTCGAGGAACTACAGAACACTGATGAAAGAAATTGAAGAAGACAAAAAAGATAGAAGACCATTCCATGCTCATGGATGGGAATAATAAACATTGTTAAAATGTCTATACTGCCCAGAGCCATCTATACTTTCAGTGCCATTCTGATCAAAATTCCACAGGCATTTTCCAAAGAGCTGGAGCAAACAATCCTAAAATTTGTATGGAACCAGAAGAGACCCCAAATTGTTAAGGAAATGTTGAAAAAGAAAAAAAAAAGGTGCTAATTCTAATCTTTCCTACCTGTTTCACTTTTGTGTATGTCTAAACTTGTCCGTATAGAATAGGCATTGCTTTTTTTTGCAGATCTAAATGCTCACATGAACTGTTCTTCAGCGTGGAACATTTTTCCCCCCTCATCATGCCCATAAATGAAGTACTTTTGTTCCAATATCAGGTCTTGTCTTTTGAAAGAGCCCTTGTCTTTCTCCGTAGTGTGTTTCAAAGTTCTGAGACGATAAAATTCTGCTACTGTAATTTTATTTCTGTCCGCCTGGGTTTGGGGCATCTCTGGGTGGATCAACAACGTTCCTTACCTATTTACCCTTCCCTGGACTGCTTGCATCTCTTCCTTGTGGCCCAGACTCTTTGATCAATGGGGGCTCTGTGTGGGGCTGATGCTCGGAGAACTCGGGATGCGGCTCCCCTGTCCTGGTCGTTGGTGAAGTATCAGTCTGATTCCCCCACAGAGCCTAAGAACCCTCGATCATTAACCTTTCCCCACATGAGAATTGGCCATTTATTTCTGCTTCTTGCCTCTTTGCCTCTCCAGCAGTTTTTAATCCATTTAATTCACTGATAGGACTTTTTCCTTTCACACCATGGTTATCCAGTTTTAATAATAGGCATTTGTGAGAGCCTTATCAAAAGCTCTTTGATAGTCTAAATAAATCACATCCATGCTGTGAGAAGAGTGGACCCAAGAAAAATCCGAAACCTCGGCAGATACAAGTGTCATCTTGTTCTTTAGATGCTGGCCCTTTTATAACTTCAGGAACCACAAAGTTAAGTTTTTGGTGTCCGAGGCCATGAAACGTTTATTCCTGGCTAACTTCTGTCCTAGAATTCCGCTGTGGAGAGACTTCTAGTGGCATCTGTAACACATTAACTTCTATTTTCTCTCTTTGGGGTGAATTAAGTAATTTGTTGCCTTTTTCTTTCTCCTGTTCTAGACATAGTGGAAATTTCATCATTTTGGAACCCTTCAGGTTCTTATGTCTTAATTAGGTTGTAACAAGGAATAAGGAATCGAATCCCATGGTAGAGACGAGGGGTAGCCTGAAGAGAGGAAAGTTAGAGGGGAAGTCACACTGCCCTGGGTCCTGCTGATCAAATGCAGACCACAGGGAGCCTGTGCTGCCCAGAAGATGGCTTTCCTGCTCTCCGGTGCCAGCGTGTTGGTGGGTTTTGGTGCTCTCCTGGGGTCTGCTGTTCTTCCCTCTCTGCCAGCTCAAGTCTCTTCTGCCTGGTGGATCCAACAGTGATGAGCAGGGGAGATTAGGATGCGATTCGTTCCCATCTACAACCCTGTCATTCGTTTTCCTGAGCAAACGTCACCAGATTCATCAGTACCCTTCAGTGCTCGGCATTTAGAATTCAGAAGCCTCCGTGAAAGTGCAAACGTGTATCGTTTCACGAGATGATTCCATGTTTTCTATGAAATATTCAAAATGTTTAGTGGTTCTTGATTATTGGATTAAATCTGGTCTTTTTAGTCTGACATCATGGTCTTCCACAGCCTGACATGATCTTTTCTTTCCACCTTTTTCTCAGCCTAAAGGCCCTGCCAGGGCCGCACTCCCATTCTGTGTCTTTTGTTCTCTGTCTGGAATGCTTCCCAGACTTATTATTATCCTGAACACAGTCGTGCTTCTGGGTCCGTCCTACAGTTTCAGGAAACCATCCTCAGACGTCTCTATTTGGGGTCCCGGCCAGAAGA